GTTGGACCGCCCACTTGCTAGATGCCCTCTGACGGAGGGCCGCTCAGTTGTTCTTTGTTGGGGCGGCGGGCATTAATCGGAATTGCATGTCCTTTTTGCTGACCGCGCTCGTGCCATGAATGATTCTGCTCTCCTTCATTACATTTTATTCATTGGGAGCACATACAGTCAACTGCAACCCATCTCGCAAGGTAAAACGCCTAGAAATCACGAGCGACCCAATTTTCGTGGTGCAAAAGCTCGACGCACTACACTAAAAGATGCACGTAACCCTGAATTCGGACGCCGAGTTTTTGAAAGTTGCCTTTTCCTTTTCAAGAGTTTTTCTTCCGTGTTTTTGTTGTTTTCCGTATTTTTTCTTTGCATTGGATGATATCCACTACTGGGAGATGTGATAAAGGGATTTGCGAGCCAGGGGTTGCATAGCGACCGCAGCGCGGTGTGACTGTCAGGGAGCAATTTTGTTTGTGGTGTTCTTGAGGACTCTTCTTGCTTTTCTTCTTCTTTGGGAATTACTTATCAGCTACTGTTTCATAATGAAAAGCAATTATCCATGACACTTTTATCGCGAAAGCTGTCTTTAAAGCGACGTAGCATTAATTGCACTATGAACCCTCTCCACAGCTGACCAGTCATCTTATTAAATTCCCTTGAGAATTTCTTGAGTAGGAGGTGGAGGATAGACCGTTCGGATTATTAAGCACTTTCAGACCGCGAAAGTGCAACAGCCTCCGCGATTGCGGACCGCACCCAGTTTATGCAATCCGCACATTGGGGGTGCTCGCGGACTATGCCTTTGACAATCGTCCTTCGCATCAGCACTTAAAGGGTGTTGGCACTGTAAATCTCCGAGACGGGATGGATTAATACGCCCGGTAGGACGGAATTCCGCGCCCCTGAGCAGGCTCTGCGTAGCGCTTTTTCTAGAGAAGGTACCCTCATAAGGCCCTATCAAGCTGCAACATACCGGCCCGAACACCCACCGCGCCCGCCCGCCCACAATGGACGACCGTACCTGATGCTCGTATTGCTTCATTTGCGAAGTAAAATATGAAGCGAAGGGATTGACATGAAGCCGCAGTGCTGCATGGATATATGAGTACATAGGTGCAGCCGTATCTACCGTATCGGTTATTAGCACAATGTCTACGGGAAACTCGTCCGAAATTGTTTTTTTAGTCATTAAGAACGAAGGCTTTTTTTCGCAGGTTTTCGACTGTTTCACTTCGTTTTTTTTTTGCCATTTTCCCCACTACATAGCACCCTGCTAGCATTTTAGACTGAGTACCAAATTATCGTGTAAGACAAAACAATGGCTGAACTTCCACTTGAACGAGTAGTGCCGAGGCTTCTGGTGAAACAATTGCCTGAAAATGCTTGACCCCTGGGTCCATATCCAGAGGTAGGGCAGGGCGTGGCAGCGCTCTTAGTTTGAATACGTGCGCGTATTCGAAATGAGTACGTACGGGCCGACGCCCTCCTCTTCTTTTTGGATATGGATATAGGCCGCTCGCTTTATCCAGCAGCTGTTAGGCCGGTATCAAAGCTGCTGAATGGTTAGGAGCCCTCCATCCAAACACGGTAGAATATTTGCCTTGCCCTACAGATCGCGAACAATTATGTTATAATGAGTAATGAACAAATCTCCCTGCGCAACCTAAGCATCCGCGAAACTTTCCTCTATCGCCAAGGTAAAACATTACATCTACCCTCAATGTAAAAATATTTTTCGATGTTTACTACGAACAAATAACTGCTCAAGCAGTTTATGGCGACAAGTATTTTCTCAGTAGTCAGAATAAAGCAACAATAACAAGTCTATCGTCAAAAGCACCAACTAGGATATCTGCGCACCATAAAAGTTGACGTATGTGGACTGGTCGCTGAACAAGCTAGGACGTCTAGTTCTTCAAAGAACACAAAAAAAAACTACTTGACAGTGCAGTTCATTCACGGTCGCACCCGGCAGTAAAAGTGATTATCATTTATTAACTGACGTTTGCTTTGCTGCTTGGACTGCGGCAGAGGGACCCAAAAGCATTTGTCGCTGTTGGGCTACCTGGAAAGTAATCATGTTTAGGTCAGCTGGCAAATAATACCAGGTTTAAACCGGGATTACAAGCAGAAAAAGAGGATAAAGCCCTCGGCTTTGTCATTCTCTTCCCAAAAATGGCGCCTCGACCGAATTCCACTTCTATTCAGATTTTTCAGAAGCGTAAGGTGCAATTTGGCCTTCACAACGATATTTGAGGTCAGCCGATTTGAAGCCAGCTACTGCAAGAAAAAGAATGAGTACGAAGAAAAATGATTTAGCTCTAACCAAGACCCACTTTCTGGTTATCGACGCTTACAGGTGACACGTGCTAATTTAGTACAAGTTAGAGTACGTTCATGCACTGCATCAGGGTTTTGGGCGTACACCAACATTTCCAGCGAGTAGAGAAGTATAGCTATCGAACTACCCTTTTGATAGTACTTTAGCGTAAGTTCAAAATGCTGACGGAAAGTGTGGACACATTTTCTATCAGTCGAGTATGGCACCAAAACACCGACCTCAGAGGGATAGATGGCAGATTGGCTCAATCAGGAGCCTATCCAGTATTTGCTCCCCCTTCAAGCCGTGGTAAAATGGCGCCACTTGACTCACAACCTCATCCCACAATTTAAGATGTGTTCAGAAAACAGAAGAGGCGAGATACTGTAGCGGGAAGTGGAACGCTTTCCACACATGTAAAGCTGCGGGAAAAAAATCTTGGAACAAGCCACAAAATCGCGTTTCAACAGTTCTGAAGCTCTCATTCAACAGCAAAACAGTGGAAAGGTAAGCAGATAGCGAGAATTCAACAAAAAAAACTATTCAGCGCTCATTTGGTTTGCTAACTACTGGGATAGACTGGGCCTTCATCATCCGTGGAATCGACTCCACAGGAACTTCAGGGGTATTCAACTCGGAATTCCCTAGAATGCACTCTTGTTGGTAGTCTTCTTCCCCCTGAATCATGCTTCAGGTTATCTCAAAGGTGCCTGATGGAGTTGAGGTAAAGGCCTTGGCTCGGTCACTCTGTCATCTGATGTCTACCTTAGAAGCGGGAACCTAGATCTCGCGTACCTCTGTGCTTTGCTTAGGGCCCTTTTGACTGATTTGAAATTAATACTGCCAGGCATACTCTATCTATATCCGCGATATTTTACATATTTTCTCGATATTTCATGCGGTACAAGTCAAGGAAAATCAAAAAATAATTTGGTGGAAAAGTCCGATTTTTTTGGCTCGTTCCAAGTTTTTTTTCCGCAGCTGTAGTTTGGTGGTCAAATCCCGGGCTATGGGCTTTCGCCCAGTCCAACAGAGCCCTCTACCTTCCGGACGGCAGATTGGAACCAGGTTCGTCTGGGAGGATAAGAACACTGCCTGGTACATCGGCCGATCCTCGCAAGTCATTGCATAGGCCACATCGCATTCAATAAGCCACTACGATTCTGAATGGAAGTAGAATGCGCGCCGCATCCCAAAAAGGACTGATCCATAGTGAAGGCTTCTTGCTTTGTTAAGAATATAAAACATTCTAACCTGAGTTTTCTCAAGATCACTCCTCTCTTTCTCAATAATGTACGGCATGAACATAATAAGTGACGTTGTGGCACCGATCCAAACAGCTTGGCGAGCGATGTACCAAAGGGATTTTACTCCCCACACACTCCATGAGGCCCCATTCGTAATGGATTTTCGTAAACCTTGTGGAATCATCTCGGTGAGACCTTCTAGCCGCTCCATAATTGTCTCTTCGAGTTCATCATCGGGAATATCATCAAATTCGTCTCTAGCTCGAACCGCCATCTGAAATAGTAGGTCTATTCGCCTTACTCGAATATGATGGAAGAAGACGGCGAGCACTATAATAATTGGCACATAAAAGAGCGAATCAATGAGTTGGGGCACTTTTCAGCATCGCATCCCAGGCGTCAAGACACTGATGAACATTATATTCACATTACCTGAATATGAGGGGAAGGTGCTAAGTCAGAGCAGATGGGAAACCTCAGCGAGGGGGTTGTATCTCTTCCCATGTAGGATGGGAAGTTGCATGTGCTTTTGAGAAACGTTTCCAGTTGTCGACTCTTATTGTTTCTTTTTCGTTTCACCTCGCCATATACTGCAACCTTTCTCCTACAACTTTCCGGGGGTAGCACCGTACAGAGGAGGAGAGTTTGTGGAAGGGTCCTGTTTTACAAAAATTTTCCCCCAACGGCAAGATGTACCCTGATGCCTAATAAACGACTGTGAACAGGAAAAGGAAGCATGAGGATTTTTGCCCTAACCACGGACGTTAACCACGCTCGATGATGCTCACCTTGAACTACTGAAACAGTGAAAAAATGAAGGTTAGACAGTAAATTAATCAGCGATCAGTTTTGGGAGCACTTCTTGCCTCCATAACAGCGCGTTCATACTTCGCGATCCAATCGTTCGAGTGATCGTGGCGAAGTACGAACGCGCTATAACCGCCAAAGTAACAGAAACAGGCAATAATCAAACAGAAGTAAATGAACTATGGCAGAGCGAGTTCTTTGAAGTGCAAAGCACATTGCACTTACCACCCTCATAGCACTTACCACCCGATCATAGGGCCGATGTACCAGCTTTTGTAATTTTCTGATTTTCAAAGTCGGAATTTAACTATGACCTGCATTACTCCCATACTTTTCCCATATTATCTGTGCAAAAAAACAGATCATTGAAAACGAAAATTCATTGAGAAATCGAACAAAGAAATGTTAAAGGAGGTGGCGAGGGGGGTCGCAACCAAAGAGATAGCTCAGCACCCTTTCCCTACGTTCCTTTAGACAAGCGAGAACACAACACTGGACGAAATCTTGCATCCGCTGGGGAATTTCGACGATTAACAGTTCATGCAACTATTTCGGTGGCTCCGTTTTGTGGGTAACAACACGTACGAAAAGGAAATTATGCCAACAGTATAAAGAGCACCGAACTCTTGTAGTCCAAAAAATTTTAAAAATTTTTGTCACACTGCTTTTGAGTTCTTTTGGATAGATTTCTGACGGCTCTCCATTTTGCAACATATTTGGAGCGTGGCTACTAGCAAGGTTTCGGGACAAGCAATATCAGAATACTGTTGTTCAAATAATGTTCGCATTCAACTATCAGAACTAGACAGTGTAAAAAAAAACACCTCCACATGAAATAATTCAGATTCCCTTCGAGGCTGCTCTAATGAGAACTGGTCCTGACGGGAAATTGCTTGGCGCCAGTTTCGTTCCTTTAAGTTTTCCGAAAATGCGCCACATTTCGAATGTGGTGGTCAGCCTTTTTGTGTTTTCTCCCTCGGCGGAACTTTGAAATAACTTGTACTTTCTTATTGTCGAACCGAGAGCCGTTTGTAGTGGCGTCTTTGCAACAAGATGCGGATCTTACGCGCGTGCGACAAAAATAATGTTACCAGCGTTGCCCTGTTATTTCCGCTATGAGCCGAATCAGCGTGTTCATAAAATTTCTGGAATCTACTCTATGTTCATTTTTATTATTCGGCGCTCATTTACTCACATCTTGTTGGTTTTTTGTTGGTGCGGCTGCAGTTGTCTCTACATTTTATTGATATGCTTTTCTAAAACATGTGGGTTCTATTTATGGCTGAAGGCACGATTTAGAACATAGTCCACCGTTTGGCCGGTTTGTGTGACACCGTTCAAACTACTGCTCAGGCAAATCAAGATGTGTCTGTGTAATAAATGAGAATTATTCCTCCGTCTCCAAATGGTTATGTAGAAACTTAAGATGCACTCGTTCATTATGCGATTGCTAGTTACGCTAGTTATACTGATGAGCTGATGCACATGCGTAGTCTTATAGATAAGCATCTCAACTCAGCATTGTAGCCAAGTAAAATTTTTGTATTAATAAGTGCAAAGTTTGTCTTACGGGAGCCCGCTTATTCGTCAAAGAACGTTCGGCTTTTAGCAGACTAGTAGGCAGGCCTATATCGGTGTGTGCGTACTTTTTCCTTGTGATATTGGATAGATGGGATCAATTCAGGCGGCGGATCTCGATTATTAGATTAACATTGTAAGAATCGTATATGAACAACAAAAAGATTTAGTTTATCGTGAATAAAATGTTCGATGTTGTTTGCGACCCCAGGCTTGACCTGAATGCGCCGCTTAAGCGCAATTACATAAGGCGAATCCTAACGAACTGAACCACGAAATCAATTGAAAATAGTCGCCACCATGGATATCAATCTATTTTTCAATATTCTCACAGATACGAACATGTAGCCCATAATCGCTTTGAGACACGAGCGAATCGGGCGTAGCAGTTTTCTTTTAGCAACGCACAATAGGCAGTTGTCCATTCGCAGAGACTTTCGAGAGATTCGAGTGAAGAAGTAATGCGAAACAATGGGGCTATCTCACATTGGTATCGTACATAGATCAGTCTAACATGGAAAATCCAATACAAAATAGCCGAATGTGCTGGATTAGGATTTGTTTCCCTCTTGATTTGGGCTAGATGTCATGTCCCCATCCCAGTTCTGTTTGAGCATTCGCATTTTACCATGAATGTACGGGTTTTCCGGTTAAATTATCACTTTTGTTGATACGCTTCGCGACGATGATCATTACTTGTTTTTGGATAGGATGCAGAAAGGGTATCTCTTTAAGATGTAAGTCTCTGAAATCTTTCCTTAAAAGTCTCCATATCCGTTTTGAATCCTGATGGTCTGGCTTCACGAACAGTCTTCTCTTTGCGTTGTTATTCGTTTCCTTTTTCTCTATCATGTGAAATACATCACTCATAAATCTGTTCCATCAGGTTTGTCTTTACGTTTACTTTAGCCGTCGTTTTGTGCTCCTTATTCGTTTAAGACTGCGTTCATACTTCTCGTAGACGTTTCGAGTGTGTTGGTAAAAGGTACAGGTATCGTCTAGATTTTGAGCGTTTGGAGGGAAACGCACGGAACGCTCAAAACGCTGGATCGATACCTGTACATTCTTCGTGCTCAAAGTGCCGGCGAAAAGTATGAACGCTTCCCAGATGTAAGATATGCCATTTCAGTTGGTGATTTAACAACTATGAATCCTAATGAAAGTTTTTTATCAACTATTTCAACAACAAATACAGGAACACCGGTACGTCTCTAATTACTTCACCAAATTATTTGTTATCAGCTCATTTCAATTGTGAACAGGCATTTTTTGGGGAACCTTTCAGCTTAATGATGTTAAGGCATTGGCCAGGATCATGGCTAACGTAGTGGATATGCAACAACATCTTGTTAGCCAATATCAGACAGTTGCGAATTTGTTGGAATCCTTGAAGGTATGAAGCTGTTCATTTTATAAAAAAGTTTTTCATGTGAAAATGGCTGAGTCCTCGAAGTTCGAGAAACTTCGGCTCGTTAATACCTTGCTAATAAGGAACACCTGCGATTTCGGAGAGTACGCGCTTTGGTAGAGTTGGTTGACCGCATTCACAGTTGACAACTCCGAGTGAACGGCGAATCTGCAGAAAAGAACTTATTTTTTATGTATTTGGAGAATAAAACGAATCGCTGATTCGCACAAACTGCGAAATGATCTAGCAGTGGGCCTCTCCACTACATTAGAAGGCATTCACTTGTAATCTTTTTTCCCTTCTCTCCATCTGTGTTCTTATTGTTTACTGTAAATACTGAGTACTAGTACCTGTTGTTCAAGGTTCACCTTATTTTGTGAATAGTTAATAATTAAGTAAATAAATAAGAAATCAAGAAAGGATTGTACACTTATTGGTTTGAACTCATCTCTCCCAAAGGCTACGTTCATACACAAAGATTCCGTGGAATCTGCAGGAAAGAGAATGCATAGGTATCGATCTGAAGAGTGCGCAGAATCCACGGAATCCAGGGCAGAATGGAATTGGAATTGGCTGAATCATCGAAGAAGACATGATAGAAATCGATTGTTTACCACGCCCTCTGTGCGTTTCCAGATTCCGCGGAATCTGCTAATTCTTTGAATCGATACGCATGCGTTCTTTTTCCGCAGACTGTGAGTACTCTGCACAGTCTACGGATTCGGTGGAATCTTTGGTATGAATGCGGCCGGAAGGGCGCAGAGGGCAAGACAGAGTTGTCAGTTTCTGCCTAGGGTTTCTTACCTAACTTATCTTATCCTCATCTTATTCACCCAATTCTGCAATCCCACATCATTTCTGCAAAGTCGTCGCCTCTGAACGCGGCCGTTCCCATATAATCCTAGCCGCCTCTGTAACAAGGGACTTTGCACGTCTTTACATATGCTTTCCTTTTTCTTTTCTAACATTCTCCGAAATCGATTTTAAATCGCGGCTTTTTCACATCATCGGTAGAGTTATTTTGAAAGTTTTTTCAGGTCGAGGTACATAGTTCCACCCAGTCAGTTCGAGAAGAGCTGAAGTCAATCCGAGATGAGTTGAGGAGGACTGATGTTACCCATGCTAATGAGATCACACGCCTCATGGAACTCGTGAAGATGTTAGTGCAAGCAAAGGACCAAAGTAGCAGTGCTCCCCAATCGCAACCTCCCCCGCCAGAAGCACTGCGAATGACACCAGCCCAGCTAGTGAGTGCAATTTTTTCAGTACAAGAGCGTAACCGTTTGAATGATCAATTTGAGGCGTACGCCAATGCTGCTCCACCAGGCAGTTTCTTCGGAACACCTGCTGGATCGTTCAATGACCTTGCAGCTCAAGCCCAGGCTCATTATGCGGCTTGTTATCTGCAGCAACTTCAAGAGCAACAAGTAATGGTAACTTATCAGCTTTTAGAACACCTTTGTCAGACTTGCTGCCTTTCCAGAGAATGCGTTCGGCTGGTATGCAAGCAACAGGCTTTTTCGGTAATCAACCCTCCATTAATATGGGCGGTATTGGTGGTATTCCTGGGGCGTTTTCGCAAAGGTAGTTTGATAAATATCCTCCCGATGTACTTCTACTCAGTAATTTTCTTTTTAGTCAGCACCCAGCGGCAGCGGCAGCACCTCCATTGGCACCTCCAGCTGTAGCTGCTGCTCCGAAGCCGTCAGCCGGCGGTGTTTTAGGTACTGTGCCACCAGTTACAGCAGCTGCTCCTGTTCCTTCATCTAGTACTGGTTTCCCCATCACATTCACTTCCACTGCCCCTGTGACAACAGCTGCTTCGTTGCCTTCGTCTGCCCCCTCGGTTACATCTACTTCTTCGGTGCCAAGCTACTACTGCAACATCTGGTACGTTCCATTTTTCTGTTCACTTGTAGCCTCTCTGATGTGAACCCTGAATGAATGTCTTTTATCAAGGCTGGAAACGAATAGTATCAGCTTCGCGCTAGTGATATGTTTTGTGGTTAGGTTTTTGTTTAGGTATATAATGACAGCCAGCTCCTGTAATCCAAATTTGTACTAATAAGCCCTTCTTCAGATCAACGGAATCTATATACGGTACAACACATATAGTGAATACAGGGGGCCAAAAAAGTCACTTTCTTCATTGACTTTCGAGGCGCTATAAGTTACACTTTATAAATTCTGATCGGACATTTCTACCACCATATTAAAGAGCATATTAAATACTATCATGATACTCCGCCACAGCCTTCTGGAGGAGCGCCATCGAGAGATTCTGCCACGCGACCGTGAGTGGGTACCTGAGTTCAGCGATCGTTGATTTCTCCGCCACTGTAGACCACCCTATTGAACTCCGCCCGAACCAGGTAATTGAGGGGGTTTAGGTCAGGTTACCTGCTTAGATATTCCACCTTCTTCAGGTACTCAACGCCCTTCCATTCCAAGTAGGCAAGAGTTTTCCCAACGCCCTTTGATTCCATGTGGTGTCACCCAATCCTGTAGCAGTACAAAGTTTCCAAGAAGGTACGGGCGACGACATGTGGAGAGGATATTCTTCTCGAGTTGCTCGATGTAACCGCCAGCGCTCACCTTAGTCCGGGGCCCACGAAGAAAATATCGGTCTCTCCATTCCAGGTACGTCCGGTCCCCACCATCAACTGGCGACTGAGGTGAAGATGATGTCCTAGACCGTAGCGACGTTGACGGAGCTGCTCGATGATGGAGGTCTTCCAGATCGAGAGTACTGCTCTCCAGGTAGCTATCCATGGGTGACTCCATACTAGAAGTTTCGCAGCTGTTTGGAGGTGACATGAATTCCGAAGGTCCAGTCAGGCTGCGACTGGAGATGACTTCATATTTTGGTGTACATGAAGGTGATGGGCGAGAGCCAGCTCCTGCTTATCGAGGAACATCTTGGGTATCTTCCGCCCTGGTACTCGTATCCACGTCCTCTGTCTGGGCAGCGAAAACTTTGCTGATATGTGACTCGGTCAAAGTGACTTTTTTTTGCCCCCCCCCCTGTACTGTTAGACAAGAACCAGTGTTTTTCCAGAAAGGATCGTCCTACGAACTTGGCAAGCAGGACGGGAGGGGATGGCTAGCTCACAAGGCATTGGTGGATAAATGGAGTGGATTGCGAGAGATCTAAGTAGGGGACTGATGGGGAATGATGATGAAAGTCACTTATACAATACAACACACTTAGAGAGTGCATTATTAGACAAGAACGCGTGCATCCTACCGGAAAAAATCGCCCTACGAACTTGGTTTATTTACTGTGCCATAGTGTTGGGTTCTCCACTTACTTGGGCTGGGTTTAGGAAGAGCATATTCGCCAAGAGGTGCTTTAGTATTGGAGCTAACGGCGCAGCGAGCTTCATGGCGTTTTAACAGCGGCTAGCCTAAACACTGTCTGCGGCAAAAGAGCATTGGTGCTCTACACCTTCTGTAGATGGTGCGATCACTTCGAGGCAGGCATAAGACCCACAGCGAACGCTGACGATTGTAGACAACGAGCAACTACCCCTTTGCTATGAAGAAGTGCATAAGGACTTCGCGCGTTTAGAAGACGCTGCCAGGCCACTATAGCAACCAGTTTCGAAGAGCACGCGACTTCATATCGGGGTAATCTCTCGATGGATTCCTTACCGTCTGACCTATGTTACTTGTAGCTGGAACTGCGAAGAAGCATCTTTCAGTACCTCCTGCTCCCTCCGCGTTAAAAGTAGTTCTGCAAAGGGAAAACTTGTAATAAGGGAGGCTGTCTTCTGCAACGCTGTGAGACGCACCCTGATTCCCATGGGAAGGGAAGCAAACCATGTGCTAATAAATTAGATGGGTTCGCATGGCCTGCGCAATAGTTATGCTTGGTGCGGCTAAAGGTTGCTCCACTCTCTGAAGCAGTATTATCGCGGTGTACACTTAATGACCTTCTTGACAAATGGTTGATGGTCACAAACTTTCAAGGAAATTACGTTTTCGTACATTTTCAACTGATATCAGCACACTTTCACGAGGGAATGTATCTGAGTTAGTAGAATTTTGATTCTAAATAGTTGGTGGTCTCAGCGGTTTATAAATCAGAAACATAGTTGGTGGTCTCAGCGGTTTATAAATCAAATACGAAGTCGTATACAATTCGCAATAGATGTTGCATCAGCAATATTTTCAGGTTTGTTCGTGGGAGGTGCAAAACCAGTGGTCACTGTACCCTTGCCTGTGTCCAGTCCCGCTCAGCCACCAAAATCGGAACCATCAAAGGTAAAGGGCAGATTTCTTCATTAAACATTGACGTTAAGGTAGTTCTCCATACACATCGATCATGATAGCGCACATTTCGCTCCTGCTTGAATGTATTAGTCTGAAAAATTCTCTTTCCGTATTATCTTCCTCCACTCATTTTAGGGTGGTAAACCGGAAGCTACTACACAGGCTGCTCCTTTTTCTTTCGGTGTGCCCAAGTACACGTCAC